AAGCCAAACTTCCTGGCCAGGTCTTCTGAGCTATCAGCCTGAGTTCCTCCCTCCCTACTTGTTTTTCCTGAACCCTGTGAGGTCTGGTTTCTGCTTCAAACTCTTGCCTGAAACCCCTTCTTTAAGTTCCCTACCCCCACCAAATCCACAGGCCCCTTGACTCCCTGCTGGCCTGCAGTCATCCCCCCCGCCCCACTCCACTCATTTGGACACACACTCAGTGGGTGGTGCAGGAGAGCACTAACGACAGAGTCAGGCAGGCGCGCACCCCAGCCCCAGGGCCACTACTGCCAGCTGCGCAGCCCCGGGAAAACCACTGTCTCTCTCTGATCTCCCCTCTCGTGGTGAAACCGGGATAAGAGCAGAAGCTGCCAGGCCTTGTTCTAACTACACGTGTTAACTCATGAATCCTCACAGCAGCCCTGCCAGCCGGTGTTAGGATCAGCCCCGTGGACACACCAGGAAACTGAGTTGCAGAGGTTATAGCTTCACTGTCTCGAGTGGCGGCCACCAGCACATGTGACTACTTACATTTAAATTAACCAAAGTGAAATGAAGTTTAAAACTCACTTCCGCAGTCACCCTAGCCCCAGTTCAAGTGCTCAACAGCCACGTGTGCCTGATGACAACCATACTGGACAGCGAAATACAGAACTTTTCCTTCACCCCAGAAAGTTCCACTGGGTTAGACTTGCCTAAGGTTACACAGCCGACCACTGGCAGTGCCAGCGGGCCTGTGGGCAGCCTGGCAGGGAGCCGGCTCCGCCCATCACATTCTTACTCCCAGATGAGTGACTGGATGGAACAGGTGCAGGGCCAGGAGCACAGACGACGCTCTGTGGGTGCCTCCTTCCAGGCCCTCCTGGTGTGGCAGGCTGACATTTCACTCCCCTGGCCCCTCACTGGCCTTCCTCCCATGCTCCTAACTGGGGGTGTCTCCCAGACCTTCCCCTCTCCTCTCCTCAAAGCTGGTGACCACCCTGCTCTCACCGGTTCAGCCCTGACCTGTGCACCTGCCTCTTCGCAGGTGCCTGTGGGTTCACCCATCTCTCGGGGGCCTCTGGGTGGGTTTCTCCAGCTGCCCTGGGGGTCCCCAGGGAGACATCCAGCCTACGCTTCATGTGAAACTCACCCCCCAATAAACTCCCATGGCCTCCCCCGTCCGACCAGCTGCCCTCTTCAGCACTCCAGTTCCCCCGCAGCTCCACTGCCAGGGAGGGAGCTGTGACTTCAGGCCCCACCCAAGTTTTGCTGACTGAGGTCTCTGCACTGTCCTTTTGCCCCTGTCCTCCCCTCCCCGCTCCTCCCCTGCACTTCCACAGCACAGCTTGTGGGGTGCTCAGCACCTCCCACCCGTTCACGTGTCAGTCACGAGTCTCTCCCTCTTCCTGCCCCCTCCCCATCCATCCTACACATCTGCTCTACTAGAACATCACTGGAAAACACTGCAACTCACCTCTTTCTGCTCCCAAACCCAAATCCCTCCCTCCTCCCGGTCAGCCCAGGGTGACCCCACATTGCCACCTTGGAGGGGACCTGAGGGGACACCGTCCTGGGCAGCTGGAATACCACTCAGGCCTTTTGCTCCCTCCCTCAAGTCAAGTCAAAGTCAACAAGAATTATTTAAAGAAATTCTGCTGGGAGTCCTTTGGTGAGACAAAGAATCCTTTTGTTATGCAAATGACCACACCTAATTTCCCTTGTTGAACATTCAGATTTAAAAATCCATTTTCCCTTGAACTGAAACACACCTCCTCCCTGCAGCTCCCCTACCCCCAACACACACACACACACACACACACACCCCTACTCACACACACATGCACACATGGTCACACCCAGAATTTCAGCATCAGAGGGAACCTGGCGGAGGCCTTTCTGCCAGAGCCCAGGGCACACTTGCTGGGCACTCGCCCCCTCTCTGGCCTGCCGCCCCTCCCGGAGCCTCCCCGCTGGACCCATTTCTTCCCCTTCTTCAGGCCCTGCCTCCGGGTCCCCTCTCCAGCAGCGTTTTTCTAATTAACCTTCCTGGCCCGTTACCGCCTGGGCCTGCAGAACTCCAGCCATAAGTGTCCTCAGCCTCCCAGTACTGCGGTGCTTAAAGAGGCCGCGGAGACCACCTAATCCAACTGGTTTATTTTACCGAGGAGAAAACAGGCCCCGAGAGGGGCATAACTTGCTTAGGGTCACACCTAGGGTTGGTGGGGAGGACCTAGATCCCCGGACCATCCACCTAGAATCTGTCCCTGTGTACATAGCTGACCTACATTTGCCAATGTGTGTGCGTGTTTCTGTCATATTGTGGGTGGCTTCTAGATTAGGGACACGAGAGGAGGAAATGGGGCTTCAAAGATGTGTAGAGTTTTGAATGAAGCCTATGGTGAGGTTGGGGCTGGGCGGGGAGAGGGCCCAGATTTGCCATCTGGGGTGCAGTAGCGGGGAGACAGGTAGCAGTGGGGTGTTCAGAGGGCTGTGGGTGGAGAACTGGGCTCCTATATATGGACTGATTTGTGTGGAAGAAGGAGGGGGCTGTCAGAAGGGCACCTTATTCTCACCCTAGCCCTGTTTTGACCCACTCCCCCCACCTCTAACATATCTAACACCCACCATTGCTGGGGCCCTCGGAGTGGCACTGCTGGCTTAGAGGGTGCCCCCCGCCACACCAGCCCATCCACATGGCTTCCACCCTATCCCTGCTCTCTCTAGAGCAGGAGCCCCAGGGCAGCACAGGGTGGAGGTGGACCCAAGCCACCCTGCTGGCAGGCCGCCACAACCCACCCAACCCTGACCCCAGAAAGGGGGTGGCGTGTTGCCTGGAACTCACGTTCCATCTTCGTTGCTTCTGTAGAACACCAAGAACGGGTCAGACTTCCCAAAGAAATCCTTCTTGTCCAGCTTGTTGGCACAGAACTGCATGGTGGCAACATCCTGATGGGAGGCGGGAGAACAGGGGTGTGAGGCAGGAGAAGCCTGGAGGGTGCCCCAATCCTCCTGGAGATGCAGCCCCAGGGCCCTGGAAACATGAGGATTCCAGCAGCAGCCCTTAGAAAGGGCAGCTTCTGACGTTTGCCCAACACCTGCTGAGGGCCAGGGCCCTGGAAACATGAGGATTCCAGCAGCAGCCCTTAGAAAGGGCAGCTTCTGACGTTTGCCCAACACCTGCTGAGGGCCAGGGCCCTGGAAACATGAGGATTCCAGCAGCAGCCCTTAGAAAGGGCAGCTTCTGACGTTTGCCCAACACCTGCTGAGGGCCAGGGCCCTGGAAACATGAGGATTCCAGCAGCAGCCCTTAGAAAGGGCAGCTTCTGACGTTTGCCCAACACCTGCTGAGGGCCAGGGCCCTGGAAACATGAGGATTCCAGCAGCAGCCCTTAGAAAGGGCAGCTTCTGACGTTTGCCCAACACCTGCTGAGGGCCAGGGCCCTGGAAACATGAGGATTCCAGCAGCAGCCCTTAGAAAGGGCAGCTTCTGACGTTTGCCCAACACCTGCTGAGGGCCAGGGCCCTGGAAACATGAGGATTCCAGCAGCAGCCCTTAGAAAGGGCAGCTTCTGACGTTTGCCCAACACCTGCTGAGGGCCAGGGCCCTGGAAACATGAGGATTCCAGCAGCAGCCCTTAGAAAGGGCAGCTTCTGACGTTTGCCCAACACCTGCTGAGGGCCAGGGCCCTGGAAACATGAGGATTCCAGCAGCAGCCCTTAGAAAGGGCAGCTTCTGACGTTTGCCCAACACCTGCTGAGGGCCAGGGCCCTGGAAACATGAGGATTCCAGCAGCAGCCCTTAGAAAGGGCAGCTTCTGACGTTTGCCCAACACCTGCTGAGGGCCAGGCCCTGGGCTAACACTTCTGAGGGTCTCATTTCGTCTTCTAACCACCCCACCGGCAGGTCTAGAGGAACAGTCTTCCATGAAGCAGGTGGATTCTGGAGCCAGCTGCTCCATTGTGAGTCCTGGCTCTGCCACTTTCTAGCTATGTGACCTCGGGCAAGGGAGGTAACCTCTTGGAGCCTCAGTTTTCCCTCTGTCACAAGGGCAGATCATAGTACACACCCCACAGGAACTGTTGTGAGGACTAGTGAGATCAAGCGTGCGAAGTGCTGAGCAGAGAGCAGCCAGTCATACCCATGCAGTGAGTGTTAACCACTTGATTTCACTATTTTACTGAGTGCCTTCAAGAGGTAAAATGACTAACCCAAGGCCACTCTGAGCCTGGCCTGCCAACCCCAAAGTCCACGCTCTGTCCAGTCCCCTCACTCCCTCACATATTTGTGTGGTTCCTGGGAGACATGTAAGTTTAGGCATCACTTTCACACCCACTAACTCACGAGAGGCCCACCCAACCCGCTCTCTAAGGTGGATACGGCCCGGACCATGACCCACTTATAGCCGAGGAGCCTGAGGATCCCCCAAGTCCTCAGGGAGGGATTCCCCCAAGTTCACCAAGCAGAGCCTGGGCTTTCTGACTCCCCGGACCAGTTCGTGGCCCCATCTAACCAAACACTCAGCCCAAGAGTACAAAGAAGGTACCCAGGACCTGGTTGGACCCCTGGACCCCTCTCTTCACATGGTGCCCAGCCCCTGAGCTCACAGTGGCCGACAGGGTACTGGGCAAAGGAGCCTCAGAGTCCTCCTCTCCATCTGTCCCCATGTGGCTTCTTCAACCTGAAAGCTTCACATCCTGACACATCACCTGTCGTCAACTGGCTATTGCTCGGGGCTCTATCCTATAGTCCCTGGGGCCTGGCCTGCCCCCGAGGGCTGGGGCCTGTAGGGAAGCCACCAGCTTCTCCCGCTGCCTCCTCCTTTGAGTGAAGGAGAGGGTGTCTTGAATCCGTGTCCTCCAGCCCAGTGAGGGCCAAACTGGTGGCAGAGGCAGAGATGCAGCCTCCCACAGGCTTGAAGGATATGATTAAAGGTTGGGGGTGGATATGGTATACAGCAGGAGGAGGGAACCTTTTTTCTGCCAAGGGCCATTTGGGTATCTATAACATCATTCTCAGGCCATACAACATTATCAACATAAAAATGAGCTATGAAAAAAGCTCTTACATTTATTGAATTTCAAGTCCTGCCTGTGGAAGCCTTGGCAGGGCCAGATGTTCCCCACTCCTGGTATAAAAGATAGGAATATGGTCGCTGGAGCCAGGCTGCCTGCTTCAGCTCCATCCCTTACTGGCTGTGTGACCTAAGGCAAGTTACTCACCCCCTCTGTGCCGTTTCCTCATGTATAAAATGGAGGCACTGGCAGTGCCCGCAATATGCTTATTGTGAAGATGAAATGAATTAATGAGTAGAGTGCTGAGAACAGTGTATGGCGCACACTAAGTGCTACGTGCCTGCAAGCGGTTATGATTATTTATAGAACACTTCTCCCCTCCCCCCAACACAGGGTGTGTGGCCTCTGTCCCTGCCCCATCTCCACTTCCACCACCTCACACATCTTCCTCCAAGGACATCTGACAACAGCAAACACAGAGCGTCCCCCCATTCACTCACTCAGTCAGTCAACAAACATTTGTAGATAACATCTGTGCAGGCCAGTCACTGAGCTGCGAGCTTTACAGCCTTGTCATACTGAGCCCTCGAAACAGTCCTTTGTCACTTTTTACAAAGGAGGAAGCTGAGGGTCAGAGGAGCTAAGTGCCCTGCCCGAGATCACCCACTGATAACTGGCGGAGCAGAAATTCGACACGTATGAGCGGATTTCAAACTCGTGCCCCTTCCAGATCCCCTCTGCCTCCCTGAGAGCACATTACCGTCCATGAGGTGCTTCCCTGCTTGCCTTGGACTCTGGGGTGTCTGGGCAGGGAGGGGCTGGGCTCTAGGTGACCTGGGACAGGAGTGTCCCCGAAAAGGAGGCTCTGGGGAGGGGCAGTGCTGAAGCACAGGGGCCAGCACCTGAGTGCCCGGCAATGACGGCTTGTATCATGTCCCTCATCCTGGGCCACTGAGAGGGAGAAGGGGGCTTGATTGGGGCCCCCAAGGCCTAGAAGCCCAGGGAATCCTAGAGCCTCCCAAGAAACCTAGGCCTGCAGACCTGGGCTAAGAGTGGCTGACTGACCGAGCACGTGCTAGCACAGAGCTCCAGAAGCACACTATTCTCTGTCCCCTATTCACGTCCATTATCCATTGGAGCCTCATAACAACTGTACGAAGTGACTCCTCTGCTCGCCTCCTTTACAGATGAGGAACCTGAGGCTTTTAGGGGTTGTCAAATGCCCAAGGTCACACAGGGGGTAGCCCAGGCAGCCAGATTTCAGGACTTGCCCTCTCACCCTCAGGGAGATCTCTAGCTTTCTAGGCCCATCCCCGAGTCACTGTCTCCCCAGGAGAAAGTTCCAATCCCATCCCACTCGGGGTGGAGGGAGCATGTTAAATGCCTCCCTGGGGAGCTCCACCCTGTGGCCTAGAAAAAGGTGGAAGCCAAGGACCTGGTGGGCTCCTCCTAGCACCAGGTAGATAAATTGTGGGGTCCTTTGTTCAAAAAGTATTAAGAAATTTCAAGACAGTGACAACAGAGCATTAAACCAAGCGCAGGCCCTGTGTGACTGCACAGGCCACATGCCTATGAAGCTGGCCCCGACTTCTCCCTATGAGGCACCCGGCGGTGGCATCAGAAGACACTGAGAGAAGACTAGCCCCTGCTAAGGAGAGTGGTGGGGACAGTCCCTGCAGGGAACCCAGGGTTCTGAGTTCTAGTTAGTCCCAGCAGCCCCTCCAGCTCTATGAGCTTCAGTTTCCCCATCTGTAAAGTGACTGCTGAACAGGACGTCTGCCACTGTCCTTTTAAGAGCGAGGTTTAGTTTCAGTGCTGTTTACTGGGGAGTGTGTTGGTACAGGGCGGCAACTGGGGAAGGCCAGTGCTCAGGGGCCAGTCTGGGAGTCCAAGGCTCCTCCAGCCTCCCCAGGACACGGGTCTGTTGTGTCCAGATGTGACCCCACCCATCTGGAGGTCACCTGTGCGAAGCCTGCACTTGAACGAATATGGGTGAACCACACACCACAATCTGCACTGTAAAATAAAACATATATTTCAAACAACCGAAGCAGGTGCCACAAAATCCAGGGGCAAAAGCTCTTATGTTTGCTTCCCAGGAGGACCCTCAGGGCCTTGCAAGCTCCAGAAGGAGAGGAGGAATATTAGAGAAAAATGAATGCAAAACTTAGTAGACCAGGCTTCCAGGACCATTCAGCGCTCCACTGGGAGGGCCACTGTCCCAGCACAGCACCTGACAGAATAGCACAAAGGCCACCTGCTTGGAACCCCAGCTCTGCCACCTACTAGCTGAGCAGCTAAGGGCAAGCAACTTAGCCTAAGCCTTGATGCTCCCCTCTGATCAGTGGAGTCCTAGTGCCCCGTGAGCCTGTTGAGAAGACGAAAGGAGAGGCATAGGTTAAGTGCCAGTCCACAGTGCCTAGCACAGAACATCTGTAAGAGAGGAGCCAACACGGACAGAAAGCCATCTCCCACTGGGCTGAGCCCATGTTCAACTCTCATTCGCCTATGAGAACGGCAATGTAATAAAGTTCTACCTCTATGTGCCAGGCACTATTTTTACATCTACTAGTTCACTTCATGCTCTCAACAACCCCACGAGGTAGGTGTAATTTTTATTCCCATTTCAAAGATGAGGAAACTGAGGCACAGAGAGGTTGACACCCTTGAAGCCACACAGCTAGGAAGGAGAGAAGCTGGGATTGGAACAAGAAAAGTCTGGCTCCAGAGAGATTAATAACAGATTCCAGAGGATGGACCCCGATTCATCAAGATAAGTTTAATTATGTTCTGTAGCCTCGGTTTGAGAAGTCAGAGAAGTGTGAAATCCACTTAGAAAGGCCTCCTCAGTGCAAAACTAGTTAAAATTAAAAAAAGAAAAAAAAGAAAAAGACCCGCTCTGAAACTCAGCTAACTGGAAAAATCCACCAGGG